GGTATGGATGATTGAAATCACCCAGTGAAAGAGTCAAATGTGAGGACAAACATATAGGTATTTGTTGGTCCAATCCTGATTGAAAGCATCAACAGCCAGGCCAAGAGGATGAGGGACCAGAGACCAAAAGAGAGGGAATTTCTGATTGAAGGATATGGCAAATACATCAATGTGAGGAGTACCCCACTGAAGTAAAAGCCATAGGATCAAGAGACATCTCCATCGGATAGATTCTGTCTAGACAGAAAAAACGATCTGCAACAAGATTGCAAACACCCAGAACATGACATGCAATGATATGGATATCCTGCATGTAGGCCAAGGAAAGAAGATCCAACGTGTAAAAACATAGGGATTGAGAATGGGTGCCACTCTGGCAATTGAGATAAGCAATCACTCTGTAATTGTTGGAATGAATCATTACCAGATGGAGGAAATGATCCAAGGCCTAACAGACAGTGAGAAGTTCCAATGTGTTGATATGATAAGACTTCTTGGCCACAAACCCACACCCACCATCTCTGGAGGAAAGCATCCATAAAAATATGTAAATCCAGACAAGGAGGAGGAAGCCGGACACTTGCCGATGTGTGGGTCCTGTCCAACCACCAATGCAGATCATCAACTATGATAGGAGGAATGGTAATAAGAGTTTGCAAAGGATCCCATGCAAGATTCCCCTGGTCATAAAGAGCCCACTGAAGATCTCACATATGAGTACGACCTAAGGGGATAAGTGTGACCATGGAAGACCACATCCCCAAAAGCAATAGAACTTTGCATGCTATAAGAGCATGGTGAACTTAAAGTTCCATTGAGAGGAGAAAGTTTGGTCCAATTGAGATGAGTGTTGAAAAAACACCTAAATGGATCAGATATTGGGTAGATCGAAAGAAAGACTTCTCCAGTTTGATTAACCAGCCCACTTGAATCACCTCCTTGTGAAGTTGAAGAGTATGACAGGCATACTTCTGTTTGGAATGAGTTAACAGTAGCCAGTCATCCACATAATAAGGAAAATGCATCCCGAGAGTATGAAGGTAATGAGCAAAAACTCAAGCCATCCAACAATAAACATATGGGGCCAAAGCAAGCCCTAGGGTAGTGCGAAAAACTTATAAATCACCCCTCAATGGACAAATGGAAGATATAATTGTGATTGCCGATTGTATATGTAAGTAAGCATTTGTGACATCCATCTTGGTCATCCATAAACCTGGAAAAAAGCCTACCTGAGGGTAAGAAACGATTCCATGGTAAAACAAAGCAAATTGAGAAATAGATTGAAGCAGGACAAATCTATGACAGGCCATCAGTCTCCGGTTTTCTTGGGGACAACAAACAGCTTGGAATAAAAACTGGAAGAAAGATGATTCACAGGCTAGATGGCCTGATGAGACAGAAGGTCTTGAATCACCTCTGATAGATGCTGGATGGTAATGGGATCCCGAGGCAGAGGAAAGGAAATGGGTATTTGTGACAAAGGAGGAGGGGGAAGAAATTGTAGGACAAGTCCATCTGAGAGTACCCGAATAACCCACTGATCTGTGACAAAATATTGTCAAAGGGGAACAAAGTCGCACAATTGAGCTCCCACCAGTACTGTTGGCATCGTGCTGATCTATACTGAAGAATACACCAAGATATGGAACCTCTGGAAGAAGGAACAGGTAAACAGAGAAATCACATGTGTAAGGCTAGAGCCAAGGATGACAAACGAGCCAATGTGGAGGTGATAAGGGAGAGGCTGTCCCTCGATAAACCCTCAGGATTTCGGTGCACAGCCTCTGAAAGGAGATGTATGGTAGATAAATACCATAGAAGGGAAGTAAGGCGAAGGCATGAAAACTGGGCATGGGTTAAATGCACCGGAAAATCAAAGGAGAACCCCATAGCCCATGGGGGGGGGGGGCAAAGCATGCTGGCACCCTCAAACAATTGAGAAGCAAAATGCTCAGCATAAATCTTAATATTTCCGGGGAAGGTGAGAAAATTAAATAAGGAGAACTATCGTGCAACAAAGGAGGACAAGGATCATAGGAAATCGGGGAAAGGGATAAAACATCACATAACTGAGAAATCATATCTAAAAATGTCATATTAGGCCTAGCTGATTCTGCAGCTAGGACATAGGAAGACATGGCAAAATCCGATGGTGGAAAAAGGCTATGAAAATGTTCATCAGAACGAACAGGTTTAGATTGTTCTTGAGGAAGTGAGGCAAGTTCAGGAGAAGGTGGTTGACCCATATAACGATCAATCTCTTGACAAATAATGGCAGAGAAATCCAATGATAGGTTGCTCCCACCTGCAGCCAGTGAAAAAGTGCTTATAGTAGTTGTGAGACCTGAAGTGGAATTTATGGTAAATATTAAATCAAACAAATTGTTTGATAGATAACTATAAATGTGAAAAAAAAAAGACTGGAAAGTAAATTGAAAATAAATTCATCAGCTGTACAATCAAAAATGATTAAAAAACCACTTCGGAAGTATAACTGTTACGATGATGAAGCACATGAGAGCAAAATTTGAAGCATCTGAATATGAACACTGCCAAAACGAGAATCCATAATTTTTTAGAAATGAATAGAGGGAGTCACATGCGTAATGAGAATGTGGGGTACTTACATTGGTGGAGGGTTGTCACATGATGATTTGCATGAAACACACATTGGAATGAGTCATTTCCAATGGAGGGGAAGCAAAATGCTTGTGACATGCATTTTTTTATTTTTGCATATAGGGGCAGCACTGAACAAGAATAGCTAATTATATGAGAGGAGGTAATGTACTGTATCGGAACATCCTTTCATTTTTGTGTTATCCTTAAAGTTTCAAAAAATAAATGTTTATAACATTTCAAAAATATCACATAAGGTCAAATTTAAATCTCAATAATTCATAAAGGACTTCTTCAAGGTGAAAGATGTCCTTCTAATGCTATGATGATCATACATCATTTACAAATTGGCATGGCCTGTTGTTAATAGGTATATTTTGGATCCAAGATATGTCACCTAGTTTCACAAATTAAAAAAAAATCTTAAAATGAATGAAAGATAGCAGTCCAGCATTTACCTAGACTGCAACAACATGCATGATGAGACACTTAGTGACAAAGACTTCAGTAAAATTATTCTTTTAATAAGTGAGACTCTACCGATCAGACAAATGAAACCAGTACTTATAGAAAAATAGGCATATGGCCCTATCAGGAGTGCTCCTTCAAGCTAATTGAATGAATGAATTACTTAGCAGATTCAAGGTTTTTCTAAATGTTGAGATAAAACAAAATTTATTTCCAACTTTTCAGAAAGACCAATTTTGAAGCCATGAGACAAGATTTCTGATTAATGAATTAGGATACTGAATTAAAAGGTGATAAGGGACAGATTGTGGACATTTTTAGACATAAATTGCTTGCTGAGAGCCATCCTAAAAGTGTTCACCATCAAAATATTGCACACATGTAGAAACTATTCCAATCAAAACTTTTTGGGGTGGCTATCACCATATGAAAATATTAACATTTGAAAATTTAAACTCATTAATTTACTAATTTGAGTTTTGAGTTCTTGACTTTCAAAAAATCTAAGTCAAATGAAGTGATGAACACAAATATTTTTTATTTTTCTTTGTTAACAGTAGGCCTCACCTTGAAAATAAATAAAATCCATGGTATCATTAAACATACCACTATAGAAAATTGCAAGAATCTTAAAGAAACTGGCTCTTAAAACTCATTTTTGATTTACATTAATGACATGAATAAAGAAATGGTCAACAATTTGCTGATGGTATTAAGGTTTTGGATAATTTAACAGGTTGGGTAAATAAATGGTAGATTGGTCTTATTGCCAGGTAATTTATGTGGGTCATCATAAATTAAACTACAAGTATAATTTTGATGGGAAACAACCTTTACATTTCTCTAGAAGAAAATGATCTTGGTGTAGTGGTTAATCAGTCTCCAAGCGGTGTGCTGTTGTTAGTAGCAGGACAAATAGGATTTTAGAGTATCATGTTCAGCCTTGGGGTCCTTACCTTAGGACAAACATTGAATTGTTGGAAATGTTTCAGAGAAGTGTTACTAAAATGATGCCTAGGATAGAGGGGTTATCATATGAGGAGAGGTTAAGATCTCTGAAACTATTTTCTCTTGAAGAAAGAACAGTTAGAGGGGATCTGATTGAGATGTATCAGATTGTTAAGAAATTTATAACATTAATGCATCATATTTTTCCTTACTTAACAGTGAAAATGGTAGGACTAGAGGACACCAATATAAATTTTGGCAGTGTAAGAGTCATCTTCAGGTAACACTGTTTTATTTTTCTAACAAGGTGATTGCAATAGGTTGTCTCCCGATGAAGTAAATTTTAGGAGCATTTATGAAAAAGATTGATAAATATTTGAATGATAAGGGCTAGCTTTGAGTGTATTATTTTAAAATTTAGTTTAGCAAATGGGACAACCTATACAGGTCCTTTGTTGTCCTTAAATTTTATGTTAAGGGCAGGTTTTGAATCACCACGTTAAAAATAATTCAAAATTGAGAGATGCCCCAGAAGTAATAAAAAGGTTTAAGGTTATGTTTTTTTAGAAATGTAAAAGTAGGTAACATTTCACTTAGTTCACTAATCATTCTTGAATGTCATATTATAAAGAATATTTAAGCAGGATTTTATTATTATATGGTTAACTTTAAGAATGCAGTCTTTTATTACTAAAGGTCATGTTTATACTCATGTTTTATTTCTTCAAAACACTGAAAGAACCATAATTTCATTAGACTATGATGTTAATACATGCATTTAACTTGAATCTGTTTGAAAGTTATCGTTTGACAAGTTGTTTGATTGTGTTCCTGAACATGTTAGACATTGAGGTGTAGGTGAACACCAAAATGTTATTGGTAATACTGCAGGGTCTAATTATTCGACAAGATTTCAATAAAAATATATTTTTTTAAACATGATAATAAAAAGTATTACTTACCATTAAATTCACATTCTGATAATACCATATGAACAACATCTGCATCCAGCTTTTCATGAAACATTTCTTGTAAATATTTCAAGGATGCATGAGGATCAACATCATCTCGAACTGAAAATTCTCTTTGCATTACTGATGAGCCATCCTGAATAACTTCAGTGTTTTCATTCCTCACTTCCAAGCCAACATATGAACTGTCACTACCATTACCAACCATTCTAGGTAAATAACGAACTGGTTGTCCATCATGAATATTATTGTAACTCCCGAGAGAAAAATTTTGAATATTGTTGTTGTACTTACTGCTGCTACTGAGAATTTTTGTATTAATATTTTTTCCATACGGTCTTCCCTTCTTTTTCTTTGGCATCTCCAAGTCTTATACTTGTGTTAATCTTTCCACAATCAATTCAATTATTCCACTACATTACACTCACAATATACTGTCCAGTTTCTAAGTTCTTGTCTAAACATATTAGACTTAGAAAACAAAATGTTGAGGGGCAAGGGGTGATATAATGCAGTGCATTTATTTGACTTATTAAATAACTAGCTGAATTTTCTTTAATATTAATAGTTTACACAGTAGGTAAAACTCTATGAGTATGAGTCACTGACAAACTACATACAAATTATAATATCAAACTCTGCACAATGACTGAATGAGCCCATAAACTGCAATTCAACTAGCTCATGCACATAACTACTACTACTACTACTAACAAGTAAAACAGTAAAAGTTAAAACCTAAAATCAACATTGTCCCAACACTGTAATCAGGACATAGGTACAAATTCATCTACAAAGAACATTAGTAGGTTTATCACGCTATCTTGTATCATATAATTATTAGTATTACTATTAGTAGTAGTCTAGTTTGTGAAATTAGCTTCAGATACAATTACAATTGACTTGTAATATACAGAATTGTAACAGTCACTATGTTGTTAGCGTATTCATAAAAGTTGTTGTAGACTGTATTAACTGAAATCATTTCTACTCACTAAAACAATTTCAACATGACATCAAACATATGGCTGCACACACGACCAACAATTTCAGAAATTCTTTATCGGTTGGCAAGTAATGGTGAGAGGGCTTATAACTCATAACAAGTTACAGTTTCTTCCTTTTCTTCAAATTGTTAATTTGATACTATTTAATTAAGCCTTCACACAGCAAATAATAATAATGTATTTATCTTTTGTTTATCTTCTAATTTATTTACTTAACGCAACACCAAAATCCTGTTAATGAAATAATTTCACACATAAGAATAAATTGCACATTTTCAAGCAGTTCGGTAACTACTAACGAATAGAACAAATCACATGTTTAATCTTCGGGTGTTTCGGAATTTAAGCATTTTATCATCAGCGACATTAAATGTTTACATACAGCATACATATGTAATAGGTATATATAAATACAGAGTTCATTGTGGAGAAAAAATTATACAAAATGTACGTAGAAGAATAAATAAGTAAATTTACAAAGGACATAGTTTAATAAAACTAAATATTCAAGACAAGGAGAGATGAAAGGTACTGAGGTTATTATTTAAGCTGCGGTGTTCATTTGAGATACATAAACTTTCTTTTATCTCACAATCATAGTTTGATAAAATTCTAAATATCTTATTTGGATTATTGGAAATATCATCATGTTTTTTTACCATTTTATAACTAGTGGATATATATCTTTTTAAGGTAGAGGGAAATGTTTTAATTTTTGCACGGGTGTTCTGCATACATAATTTAAAATCGCATACACGAACTTACACTTCAGATACGCAGATAATAAATACTGTTACGTCACTGTTCGTTTGTTAATTTTCCGTAGAAATTCTCCCCGAGAAACTTCAGCAATACAAGTCCTTTCTTAAATCAAACTAGTTTATTCTTTCTCAATACAACTTTGCAATACACTTAATTTCTATAGTCACTTAAACACACGCTATAATTCTTAACGAACGATTCGTGCACTTTACGCGCTTGACTCAATTGTCCGTCAATATCTTCAATCTCTCTGTCCGCTATTCAATTCCGATTAATTGTCTGGCGCACTTATATACAAGAGCGCCTAGCAAATACTGGATTATTCGTGATGTTCCCCGATCTTTCTAGAACTCATTATGTGTTACCAGTGTCACGTGACTTCCGCTGTCGTAACACTGCCCCTTCCTTAGTATTGTTCGTCCCGAACAATAGCCACTTAAATTAAACCAATAGATATTTAACAATAACTTAATTAAATGTACAGAAGTTACAAACACAAAATTAAAATTCAACAAATTCTCTTAATTTTACGGGACGTATCTTCTTCCGTACTGGTTTCCGTCTCCTTGGCTTCTGCTTCACGTGGGATTCATCTGCTCTATCAAGAAATGTCCTATTATCGGT